CCTTTGTCTGTCGATTTTCCTCATTATAATCAGTTGGAGACTATGATAATCATTTTTCCGTAGTATTTGTCCAAGATATACTACTTTTCTACACTTGATGTCATCAGTCAACTCACGAGCTACCTTTTATCTATACAACTACATTCTAAAAGCATCTAGACGATAAATACCAAATATTTTCTGAATATTAACTGGATAAAGTTATCGTTACAGAAGTACATTATTTTTAAAACTTTTTGCATTCGATTCCGGAAAGTGTCATGAAAGTTTGTAATCAAAGTTCATGGTGGTAAAATGAAAATTTTTGTGCATGAGGAAAGTGCATTTCTAAACTGCATATAAAATGAAAAAATTGCTGCTAAAAAACCAACAAATAAGACAGTTTATTTACGCGGATGATACAGCTGTGGCAGCTCAGGGAAGTACCTTCAATGAAGTCGAAGTAAAACTGACAGATACCCTAGAAGGCTTAGCACTATACTATGACGAAAACTATCTGAAACCTAATTCTACAAAAACCCAGATGTGTGCTTTCCACCATAGAAATAAGCATGTCCGAAGGACACTGAAGGTGTAATGGCATAGTCAGATGCTGGAACACAATGAGACGCCCAAATACCTCGGCGTACGTCTGGATAGAACTGTCTTATCGATATCACTATCAAGATATCAAGAAAAAAGTATGCGCCAGAAATAATATTATTCGCAAACTAACAAACAAAAAATGGGGAGCACAACCACACACTCTTCGTACTTCTGCCTTAGCATTATGTTTGTCTGTCGCCGAGTTTGTAGCACCAATATGGGAAAACTCTGCTCGCGCTAAAAACGTCGTCATTGCGTTAAATAAAACGGTTCGTATAATATCTGGTTGCCTGAAACCGACACCTATCGAAGAGATCTACCCTATAGTATCAGCTACACCTTCTATCAGAAGACAGGCCACGTCAGAGATAGAACGAAAAAATCAGGAGACGGATCGAAGACACCCCTTGTATAACCACCAAGTTCAGCCAAATAGATTAAGATCTCGGAAAAGCTTTCTGAAAAAATCATGATCCCTTCCCGAAGAGCAAAGACGCGCTGAATACACCTATGGCAAGCGTCAGCTATAACTCATTTTGCTCCCTCAGAGAAAATGGCCGCTGAACACAATTTGCCGTATCCCACATGGAAAGCGCTAAACAGACTAAGAATTGGCGTTTCACGTTGTGCTAGTAACCTGAAGAAATGGGGATACAAGGAGGATGATACGTGCGATTGTGGCGCGGTTCAGAATAGTCACCATCTACTATCATGCACAGAGATGAGAAAGACCTACACAAAAGAAGACCTATTCTTAGCGATGACAGGGCCCTCTAGGTGGCCAACCATTGGAAATACAAAATTTAAAGCTGTTGACGTCTCTGAACACGAATATGGTAACGAAAATGGTCCTCGAGCAACCTAGTGGTCAGGGTGGACCTTGTCTTCTGGAATATGGTAATTTTATTCTTAATTAATCGACAATTATAACTTGTAGATTTTAGAGGTCGCTGAATAGAAATAGGATTACAATTGTCCTCGACTCACCTGTGCCCTAAGTGGACTTCATCTTCTGGAGTTTTATGTTATTTTTATTCGAAATTAGTCAAAAGTCATTACTCGGGAGTTTTAGAGGTCGATGAACACAAATATTATGACAGAGATGATACTTCATACCTGGTGGCCAGGGTGAACCTGGTCTTCTAAAGTTTTTTTGTTATTTTAATTCGAAATCAGTCAAAAGTCATTACTTGGGTGGTTTTGAGGTTGCTGAACACGAATATTATACCGGCGATTATCTCCAAAGTATCTGGTGCCCAGCTTGGACCTTGTCCCCTGAAGTTTTTTGTTTTAAGATTTTTATGAAAGTGTAGTATAAAATAAGAGTTACAATATGATTTGTTGAATATAAAAACAAATATTTTTTAGTAGGTAAGTAAAAAAAGATGATTAACAAATAATCTTATCATTCAAATTTATTTCTTCCTTATCTTCTTCTGTCATCTATCAAATATTCTTCATAGTTCTCCATATTCGTGCAATTTTCACTGAGCACAATTTATACGTGTCAAATTACAAACTAAGCCATTATTTATACATCCACATTTTTAAATAAAAAAAAGTGGTTTTATAACAGTTTAAAATATAGTGAGGAGAAAAAAACTATATAACTTGGAAGTTATATCTGTACTAGCAGCTACCAACTGCTTAAAAGCGCCGAATTTAAAAAATAATGTTTCAGAGAAAGTTTTATATAAAGTTGCAAGAGGTATTCTGAGGTCATTTATCAACGAAATATTTATATTCAGCGACTTTGAAAACCCCGAGTAATGACTTCGACTGATTAGCATTAAATTAATATCAAACTCCGGGAGACGACGTCCCTCTGAACACCAGATAACTTGTAAACTATCGATGTCGTACTATTTGTGTTTAACAACCCTAAAAACCTCGAGTTATGACTTTTGACTGATTTATAATGAAAATAACACGAAACTCCAGGAAACAAGATCCACCCTGGGCACCAGGTAGCTCGAGGACCATCGTCGTTATCATATTCGTATTCAGCCACCTCAATAATAGATTCATTGCACTTTCCGAGATTGAATTTGTATCAGCCAGAATGTTTGATAAAGCAGGGACGCTGAAATGAGTCATAACACTCTATTGATAGCTATTGCTAAACGATTTAATCTTTTACACATTTCGTATAGCCCAGAAGACAGAAAACTACATTATTATATCGTTTTCATTTATGGGCCCCAAAGTAAATGGCACGTCTGTACGCTAACCACTGCAGTAGTAAATATTTAGGAGACATTCGTTGGAGTTTCGGAGTTTGAATTTGTATCAGTCGAGTATCTGATGAGGCAGGGATATTGAAATTAGTCATAACACTCTATTGACACCGATTCGAGCACGGGAAGTTTAACCAATGTGTCCTCCTAAGCCGTATGTTTGGGCATTTAATTCAACGAAGCGATAGCAGCTTTTGCTTAAAGATATATAATACCCTAAAGATATATAATACTGATAAAAGATGTATAGTACCTGCAACTAGTTATAAAAGTACGATGTATTCGAGCTTTTTTAAAAGCTTCGGTAGGTCTTAAAGAATTATCTATCTATATTTTGTTTTATAGAAGTTAATATTTAGTCCAACCGTGTCTACAACATTTAATAGACCTTGCAATACATTTAAGTTTTTAGTCAACAGAACTGTATCATCTGCATATCTGATTGTATTTCCAGGGTTTACATTAATTTTTACGCCACATTCCAAGTTATGTAAAGCTTGTTTTAAAGATTCTACCAGAATATAGCAAAAAGAACCATGGAGATAATAGACAACCCGTCTTTCTACCTTTATATGCTTTTCTCTCTCAACATTAAGTGCAAAATGCTTCTTGAGTTCTATGTTTATAAAATTAAACTGTTTTAAAAGACCGAACAAATTGGAAAAAAGTTGTACAATCAGCCAAGACCCACCCAGGGTTGTAGCGCTACGTGATGATGATGAGCTAATTACTAGATGAGGGTTTTCTTAAGATACAGGCCGTCTTTTGTTTATCTTTTTAAACAAATTAAACATATCCTGTTTGTCTTCTAGTTCTTCCATTTAGATGCATGTGAGGAGCAGACTTTCAAATCGCACTTTGCAAAAAAGTTATAGATATCAGTGGAGCCAAAAGAATAATCATAATTCGAGGCAAACAAACTACTGGGGAAAGTAACATCTTGTATAAAACAGGGGTATTGTATAGAAATGATTACTCTTCTAAAAAGTTTTCAAATTTAATTTAACTACAGAAAAATCTAAGTAACATAGTACTGCTGGAATTGCCAATGAATCATGCTTTTAAGAAGAAAAAACTGGATAGTTTATTAAAATTTATAGTTAGTATATCCGGCAAAGAATAGGCATTAGATCCAGAGTTAACTTGATTAGATCCAAGTGTGAAAGAACAGTATCGTGACAATACAATTGAAAAAGACCAGATCTGCGATCAATGTGAAGATGGATAAGAATGTTGCTGTCTTCTGGAGGACGACATACATGTCGTATTGAGAAGCAGTTTTTCTTATTTCCTGAAAAATGTTAAAAATGGACAAAGTGCAATATGAAAGTCTGATCCCCATGTATCCTGCATCCATTTTTCTTTGGCCGCTTTCATTTTTTGTTTTATTAATTTCTATTTCTTTCTGTATTCTTTACTGTTATGTTCCATACTGCATAAATTCTAGAATTTCGTCAGTCAGATCTTTTAAAATATGTTTGTACATTATTTTTGAAACCATATGTTTAAAGAGTGTTCCAGATTTATACGCCACTGTTTTCATTTATTATTTTGGTCACTTACTACATTAAGGAACCGATTTAGTTTATGTTACCTTATCAAGTTCTAAGAGATTTCCGTTGATTATAATTTTTTTAGTAATAATGAACACCTGTATTCTTTTGATTATATAATAGACTGGTCAAGCACTGTTTGAATAAGGTTTTCTTAGAGTTTTGCTGTTGCCTATTGTCTTCCTGGATTTTTCTTTCATTAGGTAATTTGTTTTTCTGATTACGTTCTGTTTTCTGGGTGTCCAGTTAATCTCTAGTTATTTCCTTAGTGTCGCTTTAGTTTCTTTATTAATTTTAAACTGCACTAACTACAAAAATATATTCAAGCACTGTCTACAAAAATATCAGACTTTTACTTAACAATCACATTGTTTTTAACGTTTTCTAAGTTATCAGTTTGAATAATGATGTTACCTAAGATTTTGGATAAAGTAATAACAATGATATAATGTTAATAGTTAAATTACATATCTACTCTCTTATCTACGAGATAATTTTTTTACTTTCAATTGTTTGAAAAATAAACATCTATTCTTTAAACTGATTTTAAAAAAGAATTCACCTTGTACAGCATCTTGTTATTGCTGTATACAATGATAAAAAGCTTTGTTTGTACTTTTATTGAGTGAGAAATGGAACAACAATCGGTTATTCAACAGCCTGGCTTGCCAATTAGAGTCAATTTAAATTTTGAAGATATTAAGAAAATCGTATTGGAATTATACAGCATAAATATAACATCAGTTAAGGAATTAATTGGCTATGACGATAAAAACTACCATTTGATAGATGATCGTGGTGAAGAAATTATTTTAAAAATTATAAATTCCTTTGATTCTCAAAAGCCAGAAATTTTTGAAGCGCAATCACTTCTTTTAGAACATTTAGGTAAGTTAAATATTATACGAGTATTTTACTTAGCAGTCCTGTGTTTTCCTGCACTAACTAACAGCTCTTATCTTCTTTTTCTTCCTTATCCCATGATCGTCCACTATTATACACACTTCTTCTATTTGTTTCCATTGATATTTACTCTTCTTCATCTTCTTTAAGTTCCATCTTCTATCGAAGGTTGGAAATCATCATGGCTATGCGGACTCTGTTGACTGCCGCTCTAAAAAGTTCTGCACTACTGCATTCAAACCATTCCCTTAAGTTCTGAAACCAGGATATTCTTCGTCTTCCCACATTTTCGCTTTCCTCGGATTTTGCTCTGCATGATAAGTTGTAATAATGCGTATTTTTGCCCTCTCATCACATGACCTAAGTACTTAAGTTTTCGTCTTTTAATAGTTAATATTATCTCCGCCTCATTTCCTATCCTTCTAGTTACTTTCACGTTTGACATTCTTTGAATCCATGATAGTCGTAGGATTCTTCTGTAACACCAAAAATTCAAAGGCGGCCAACTTATTCAGATGGACTGGTTTTAGTGTCCACGCTTCCAAGCCATAAAGAAGAGTAGAGAACACGTAACATCGAAGCATTCTCAGGCGTAGTTCTAACCCTATATCCCGACAACAAAGAAACTTTTTAAGTTTAATGAATGATGTACGTGCTATTTCAATACGTGTCTTAATTTCTTTGGTTTGGTCTACATCTGATGTTATCCATGTTCCTAAGTATTTATAGTTATTAACACTCTCAATTGTAGTATATTCAATAGTCAATTGGATATTTGCATGTGCAGATTTAGTCATGATCATGTATTTAGTTTTCTTTAAATTTATCTTCAGTCCGTACTCATGACAGCGTTCATTAAGGCGTTGCATTACATTCTGTAAATTGTTGTTGTTATCCGTCATTATTACTGTATCGTCTGCAAAACGTAAGTTATTCAAAACTTCCCCATTGATAGATATACCTTCTATTGAGTCTGAGAGCGCTTCTTGAAATACCGCTTCACTGTAGACATTGAAAAGTAGTATGGACAGCACGCAACCTTGGCGGACTCCTCTCTGTATTTTGATATTTTCGGTGTACTGGCTGTCAACTCTACTTGGTATTGATTCCATATAAATAGACATATCCGACTGTCAATTTTTGCTTTTTAATATATCTACAAGCTTTTTATGTTGAACCATATCAAATGCCTTTTCAAAGTCTACAAAACATAAGTACATGTCCTGATTCATGTCCATGCATCTCTGAGCCAGCACACTCGAGCCGAACAAAGTATCTCTTGTACTCATACCATTTCTAAAGCCAAATTGTGTGTCACTAATTTCATATTCAAGAGTTTTAACAATTCTGATGTGTATTATTTTCAAAAACGTTTTAAGTGCGTGACTCATTAAAGCTATTGTTCTGTGATCTGAGCAAGTTGTTGCACTTGGCTTTTTGGGAATTGTTACAAAGGTCGATTGCAGCCATTATCTGGGGATTGTGGCAGTCTGACATATTAGATTAAAGAGTTCAACCATTACATCAATAACATCTTCATCGATGAGTTTTAATAATTCGATGGGCACATCATCTGGTCCAGTAGCTTTACCCTCTTTTGTGTTTTTGATGGCGTAGATGACTTCTTCTCTAAATATTGGTGGTCCGGTATCCTCGGTGGTTTCTAATGACAGTGCTTCTCTTTCATCATTAAATAGCTGTTGGATGTAATTGGTCCAGTGACATAATCTCTCCTTCATATCAGTAATAATATCCCCTTTTATCATTTTTAAGGATATTCATTTTTGTACGTTTTCTAGAACCTGTCATTTCTTTAATTTTTTTGTGTAAATTAAAGCTATCATACTTTTTATCCAGATCTTCTATTTTCTTGCATCTGTCGGAGGGCCACCTCTTTTTTGCCTCTAGAATTTTCTTTCTGGTGTTTCTCTTAATTTCTTTGTATTTATTCAGGTCTTTTGCTTTATGAGTTTAGTCTTCGTAAGTGGGTATATTTATTTAAAAACCCTTAAAAGGGCTACATAAAAAAAACAAACGTTTTCGGACTAAACAGTCCATCATCAGGTTTAAATTTTAAAATTGCTAGGTTAAAATGCCTGAGCCACCAAAATACATGGGTAAAAACCCTTTAAATTACATATAGTTATAAAAGATTATACATCTTGTTAAAAAACTGTGATGTTCAGTATTAAATTAAATATGACTTCAGGTAACATACATTACTGAAGTGAGTTCCAGAGCCGGAGAGTAAACCTCTACACACGGAGAACAGCTGGAAACTGAGCAATGTATGTTACCTGAACTCATATTTAATTTAATACTGAACATCACAGTTTTTTAACAACAAGAGGTATAATCTTTTACAACTATATGTAATTTAAAGGGTTTTTACCCATGTATTTTGATGGCTCAGGCATTTTAACCTAGCAATTTTTAAATTTAAACCTGATGATGGACCATTTAGTCCGAAAACGTTTGTTTTTTAATGTAGCCCTTTTAAGGGTTTTTAAATAAATATACCCACTTACGAAGACTAACCTCTTTTACAGCCAGCTACAGGAATTGTTTTCCTTGTGGATTTTTTTGCTTTATGTTTTCTTCGTTCTTCCATAAGATCAACAATTTCTACTATCATCCAAGGTTTTGTTTTTTCTCCAAGTGGTTTGAGGGTTTCTTTTCCAACTGACAGAAGGGCGTGTTTAATTTTTCCCCATTTTTGGTCAATAGTTAGAGTTTTCGCATTATCTTCTATGACTTTCCTTAAGTTCTCGTTTATTTTAAATTTCGTTTCCTCATATGTGTTGTCTTGTTTGAGACGTCTTGTATCCATGATTTTCTTGGTGCTAGGGCTGTTGACCTTCTTAGTTTCACTCTCATCGACAAAACAACCGGGTTGTGATCGGAGGATATGTCCGCTCCTTGATAAGTTTTAGATGATATTATAGAATTTCTATATCTTCTGTTGACGATAATTTAATCTATTTGATTTCTGACTATTTTGTTGCTATTGTCAGCTGGTGACCTCCATGTATATAGTTTACGTTTAGGAAGTTCGAACAAGGTATTTGTAATTATGAGTTCCTCATTGACACAGAAATCGACAAACCTATCGCCACGTTCATTTCTTTCCCCGAGTCCATATCGCCCACGCAATTCTCCACTTCTCCTTGGCCTATTTTAGCGTTCAAATCGCCCATTATAATATTTATATCTTGTCTTTTAGTTAGCCTTAAGACATTGTCGATTTGTTCATAGAAGGTCTCTATGGTGTCTTCATCATTGTCTGCAGTGGGTGCATATACTTGGATTATATTTATTTTACGTTTTAAATAAGAGTTTAGAGACAGCATTAATACTCGATCAGAGTAGGGAACAAAGTTACAAACAGCTTTCTGAGAATTCTTATCAACTATAATGCCAACTCCCTGTTTGTGCTTGAAATCGTTGTTTCCAGAATAATACATTGTTCCATTTCTGGTGTTACATTTTTCTGATTCAGGCCATTATATATCGCTAAGGCCGAGTATATTAATTTTCATTCTGTACATTTCCGACACAGCGTTATCCAGTTTGCCTGATTGGTATAAACTTCTTACGTTTCATGTTCCGATTTTAAAGACTATAGAGTTATTCTTATTTGCTTGACAGGGATTTACCTTGATGACGACATGAGAGGCCCTGTCGTCTAAATCTGATTGTCCTCCCCTGCCGGATCTTGGATTCCGAGCTCCATGATCATTAAGTAAATTATCCATTAATGGATCCATGATGATTTTTACTAAGGATATCCTTACGGATCTTTAATGTGGTAGTCATCCCCTGGCTTTCCACATCTCAATGCCGTTGACTAATTTAGTTCTTCCGCCTTCGGAGTTAATTTCTATGCTCCAGTGCAATGAAGTGCCCTATCACGTGTCGGTTCTTCCACCCGTAGCTGTTGACCAACAGGTGGGGGATTACTTATATCGGTAATCGTTCGGTTAATTTAACAGCTCTAGTATCCAATAATATACCGATCCAGGATCATTTTCCTTACACTTTATCTTGGTACTGATGCTGCTGTCTGACAGAGTAGATATGGGAATGGAAACTTTGGTAATTAGGTGGGGAATGGGTTTAGGACATAATTTCTCCCAGGTACCAGAAGATTGGGAGATAATTATGGCTGACTTGGGCAGGGTCGCATCCCTGAAGTAGATCTATCTTCTAGCGGGAACGGAAAAGAGTATCTACCCGCTACCCTAGCGGGTATATTTACTCTTAGTGATTCCCATCCAATGCTTTTCTACGATATGTTCGATATCATTCGTACACCTTTTTGCGATCTGCCCACTCCTCTTCCGTTCTCTCTTGATCAACAAGTTTATTATTTTCTACGTCCATTTTTCAGAGTTACCTCAAGTAACATTCTTCTTCTTTTTCTTGTAGGGCCTATCCATTTTTGATGTTGGCGACCATCATGGCAATATATAAAGCAGCACACTGTGGCTCTGAAACAATTTGTGGTTGTTGTGTTGAACCACGTACGTATATTTCTCAGCCAGGAAATCCTTCGCCTTCCTGGTCCTCGTTATACGTCTACTTTTTATTATAAAACTAATTGTAGCATCGCACATTTTTCGTTGTTCATCATAATGTGACCGAGGTATTCGATTTTAGCTGTTTTTATTGTGCTTAACAGCTCTTTTCCTCTTTGCATTCTTAATAAAACGTCCTGGTTAGTAATGTGGTCGCTATAGAATATCTTTAGGATTCGGCGATAAAGCCACATTTCAAAAACTCTAATTTTCTTGCTGGTAGTGTCTGTGAGAGTCTGCGACGTAACTTCGTACAACAGTATGGGAAAGACATGATATCGTAGTAACCTGATTTTTACGGGTACTGATAAATCATGGCATTTTAATAGCTTAGCTATTTTTTAAAATGCAGATCTTGCTTTCTCTATCCAACATTTTATTTCTCAGAAATGAGAGTATATTTTTACT